TTTTGTTGTCTGATATGCGAGAAATTGTATAAAATATGTAGCATGTGCAAATAAGCTGCTCGTAGAGCCTTTATACATTTTACTACAGCTAATATACAGTATAGTATTTGGTTCAGCTTTAATTTAATTTCCCTTTTGTAAAATTTTTCATCACTGTAAAAGAAGCAAATATATATTTTGTCACATATTTTTTTCGTCCTCATAGTGAAATGGTAATGGCACTGAATTGAATGCACGATATTTCCCTACGTTGTTGAAGTGCTCATTCTCCAACCTGCCCAGAACCAAAAAACATCATGAATCAAAAAGTTCAAAACACTAATATTCAAAATAAAATAAAAGAGGTAGGTCAAAAATTTTAAGAAAATCACAAAAAACCTGAAGAAATTCCATATGCCACGTCGGATAATCTCCAGGCTGGCAACAATAGCCACCATAGCCTTCCTATGCAAAAATGGAGCTTCATGGAAATCAAGAACCAGCTGCATCCAAACAAGCCTCAGCAGAATATTCACCACCTGCAAAGACATTTTATGAAAAACTATGAAAAATAAAAAAAAAATAAAAAAAAAATGCAAATGCCCTGCAGTAAAAACTCACTATAGCCACAAAATACACGGCTTTGTTTGACAATAACAACTTATCCCTCAGCCACGGGTTTTTCGATTTCCTCTTCAGAAAGCCCCAGTCGATTACAATATCCCAATACGTGTTAAAAACGGTCGTGACTCCCGACATGGAAGCAGCCATTACTCGCCAAAACGCGCCTCTCTTGAGATCGTACAATGTCCGCATGACGAGCGCAACTATAGTCGATAAGTATTTCAGTGAGTTAAGCCCTTGCATCGAGTCTTTTTCCTCAAACAAACGCCGAAGGCACTGAAAAAAAACATTTTAAATTTCGAAAGTTAGATTGTGTTTTGTAGCCTTTTAAGGCAGTGTTTGGTAAGCATATAAGTTAACTTATAGCTTATTTGATTATCTTATAAGCTTCCTATATTTGGTTTGGTAGGACAAGCTTTTTAAACAGCCCGAGTTTATCTCATAAGTTTCCTTGAGTAGCTTTTCAAATAAGTCCATTCAAATTTTTATTTCAGCTAGCTTATCAGCTAATTTTACCATACATTTTTATCATATAAGCTAGTTTTTCAGCTATAAGCTCGAAATTCACTTAAAAGCTATAAGCTAGCTAGCTTATCAGCTAGTTTTACAAAACATAGCCTGCATGGAGAAAAAAAAATCGGTCAAAAACTGTAACAAAATTCATGTTTAGTTTTTTACCTGAAGAAAACGGGACCAGAAAGGAATGATAGCGACGACAATGTATAGAACTTGGTATACGTTGCTATCGAGGCATTTGTTCGATCTCTTCTTGAAATCTCCCCACCCATAATAGCATATGTAAAACTGCAAG